CCATGACTACGCCCAGAGTGAAATGGGAAAGTGCTTGTGCAGTTCCAGACCCTCATGACTCTCCCGCTTTTATAGTTCCTATCTCCTTTCATTTTCAGATACACCCACCATTGCTTTGTCTTACTTTTCTGAAAATCCTGAGTATGAAGTATTTTAAACAGAAAATCACATGATTTCTAAACACTTATTGCTCAGCTATATTAAATCTTAACCATTATGTTCTTTAAACTTTTTTATGGAGGTAACAAAGACTTATAACATTGAATAGTTTTCAGGTGTGAATCATTTTAAAACAATAACTGTATAAGTGACACTGAGCAATTAAGTGTCTGAGACCATTCTTCATGTGAATTTGACTCCTTTTGACCCAATTATCCACATTCTTCTTCTCTTCTGGTAACAATTAACTTGGTCTTGAGTATAAAACATATTCTTTCACCTTTTTAACACCTGTGGACTGACAGATTCCTGCAGACCAACAGTAATTACCAAGGCAGTGGAACACAATCATTCAGCCTTTTCATTCCCATTGATTAGCAGCAATACGCAAACAGGTGTTTGAAGAACCTTGGTCTTAAAGTTTACTTCTGTCCTATTTAATCTATTCATGTGTTTTTTTATTTATTGCATATGAATAGGTAAAGGCCCTCCCGTTGATCGTCGATTTGCTCGAGCGGGCCCAGTAACATCTCCATTGGAGACTTTGTTGTTACTGTGTCTGGCATATCGAATACTCTCGGTAGCTTGCCGGGCTCTCCGAGAGGGGCGGAGGAATCAAACTCGGGTCGGCCATGTTGGCCGCGTGTAAGGCGAACGCCCTACCCGCTGTGCTATCGCCCCAGCCCCAGACACAGTAACAACAAAGTCTCCAATGGAGACGTTACTGGGCCCGCTCGAGCAAATCGACGATCAACGGGAGGGCCTTTACCTTACCTTACCTTACTGATAGATATTTAAGTGCTTGTACTTTGGGTTTTCTAATAATTTTTCAGGTAATGGTGAAGAAAATATATTATTTATAGTTTTTATTTATTGAGGTGGCATGGGTTTAGAAGAGTTCAAATGTTATGTATGAAGATATTCTTATAAATGTCTCCTTGCCCCATGTTGACTTAATATGTAAACTGTAGCAAGATTTTTTAAAATGGGGAAAAATTGATTTTATTCTGGAAGAGCAAAGGAATTTCAATTCGAGGTACATAAACTCTGTTGAATGTTTGGAATGGACTATATTTTGAAGTAGAGAATGAAGATGAGGGAGTTGAATTAGAGTCTATTTAGGTGCCAGGAGTAGTTCACGGGATGAGAACACATGCCTTCCTTCCTAGAGCTCAGGTGATGTCCTCAGTCCCTCCTGGCCCCTCAAGCACCACTGGATGTTGCCATGCTGTCCCCAGACCCACTGGACCAAGCAACATCACATTATTCGGTCTTTGCATTGAGCCATCCAGCCCAGTTGGCACTATATCAGTGGGATGGCCCTGAGGCCACCTGAACATTACCCCGAGGACTTCCCCAAAATAAATGGGTCAAAATTAAAATGAAATAGAGACAAGTTCTGAAAATTCCCTCAGTGAACCAAAACAATTCTGTCACACAAACAAAGTTTAGTCTAACCTATCTTTCTGATACTTATCTGACCTGGGTCATCTCTTGCCCATTTCTTTGGAATCTATAAGTAAAACATTCTGCGTTTGATATGAGTCTCAAAAAATTCTCTATCATTTGAAAATTACATGGTAAGTTGTGATAAGTTCGTACCAAACCAGAATGACCTGGGTTTGTATACCGTCAAGTAGAAAAGAAATTACTCCGTAAAATGGTTCTAAGAATAGTATTCCTTCAGCAGGAGGAGTTCCTGTTTTCCACATTCTCCAGTATTTGGCACTGTCAGACTTTTTACATTTTCCCACTGGGATGTGTGCAAAAGGGGATTTCTTGATTTCTCTCCCCCAGGCTCCCAGGCCCCTTGAAGCTCCACCTCAAGCCCCCACTCCAGTCGCACACCAGAGGGGAGGGATCCTACATGGAGGATATGACTCATCACCCCACTTTTGATTCCAAGTATGGGAACACCTTCCCCACCTGCACCCTCCTCTGAAATAATATCTCCCTCTCATAGGTCTTTGCAATACCAACCTGTAGATGAATCATTTCCATATATATATGAATAATTTCAGCCAAAATATCAAAAGCTATTCATCAAATTTATTTGATTGCCAAGAAGCAACACAAATATGACATGAACTTACCAGTGTCCTGCTCAGTTTCTTTCTTGACACTGATCCCCCCACTTTTTTCCCCATTAGTCAAAGGTTCTACCATGTATCTAATCGCTCGAACCAAAAACTAGTTCTTCTCTCCACCTTCACATTCACTCTTTCACAACTCCTGTCATTTTTGTTGTCAAATACTTCCTGGATTTCCCCCTCTTCTATGTAATTCAGCTGTTACCACCTTTGTCCAAGCAACCTTCATCTCTTACATGCACCACTTTCAATACTTCCTAAACCATCTTGGAATTTCTCCTTCTGATCTTACACTTTCCAATTAAAATATACACCTGCTTCACAAACCACCCATCTGTTCAAATCTTAGCCTTGTTCTATATTTGCTTAATACTTTAATGATAAAAAAAACTGAAGCTTCGTATCTGGAATGATAATACAGCGGGTAGAGCATTTGCCTTGCACGTGGCCAACCCAGGTTTGATTCCCAGCAATCTATATGGTTCCCTGAGCACCACCAGGAATAATTCCTGAGTGCATGAGCCAGGAATAACCCCTGTGCATCACCAGGTATGACCCCCCCAAAAAATAATCATAAACCAACCAAAACTAAAGCTTCTCTTTATCTATCCCTCTGTGATGCCACCTGTTTTTCTGCCTTTCAGAGGTAACCCCTATTCTAGAGCGGATAATTATCATGCACAAACATGTCTTTGGTATATAAAATTTACATACACACAAATGATTCAGTTTAACAAATAATTGTGGGGTGTTTTCAGTGTTTTGTTTTGTTTTTTAATTGAATCATAGTGAGATTCACGATGACTTAGAAAGTTGTTCATGATTGGGTTTCAGTCATATAATGTACACTGACGAAGGGAAGGGTGTTGGAAAATATGTGACCAAATGGTCTTTTTAGACTGAAAACATGAAGTGCTCCTCATGGCTTACCACCCTCTCACCCTCTCATGGCACTTAGTGTAAAGAGCTCAGAGATAAGGCTCCTGTACTCTGTAATGCAGATGAGGCCTGACATGCTGCCTTCATGACTTTCCAGGTCCTGGGGGTTGCTCCCTTTCAGTGGCTTCATTGCTTCCTTAAGGGCTTGTCCTCAACATCTGGCTAGGTAGAGTGGCCCCTTAGCCGGGGCTATGACATCACCCTTTTCTATTTTCATTTTGGAACTTCCCAGAACTCTGTATTTTGTTTTGTACCTCACCAGAATGTCACCTCCACAAAAATTGAACTTTCGTCAACCCTACTTTCTCCTTGTAGTGCCAGGAGTGGAGTGAGTGCCTGTCAAGTTCTATTGACTCAATGAGTGATGGATGAACACAAACCTAAACACTCAAATGAAGCTTCTCTGTGTCTGGATGGGCCAAAAGCTATGTAAGAGAGGATAAGATGACTTAGAATAGCAGCTCTCAAACTTTTTAGTTCCAGGATCCCTTTACACCCCTCAAAATTATAGAAGGTACCAAAGAGCATATGGATTATATATCTTAACACATTTTATATTATAAATTAAGAAAAAAATATATTTAATTTTGACATAAATCGCATTTTGGTGAGAAAAAAATGTCTTAATGGAGCTGGGGAGATAGCTTAAATGATTAGGCACATATCAAGACTGAGGCCCTGAATTCCACTTTTGGCACTGTCTGCCTCCTCCCCACCCTGCTCCCAGCATCATCAGCTGTGGCCTTATGGCACCCTAAGCACACCTGCCTGAGCTGCATCACAGCACTAAACCCAAAAGAGGCTCACTTTGTTGGACTGAGAGTGGCCCTGCCCCCAATCCCCACAGCTTTATTGGAGCTGACCCTATTAAAACAAATGAGTGAATCATGTCACACTTTGAGGACAGGTGGTCAACAGTTTTAGTACCTAAATAGCACATTAAAGATGCAGTTGAAGAATTTAGAGTAGATTCCCAGGTCAGATCTTGCTTTCTTCCAGGTTTTGGGTGGGCTACAAGACCCCAGGAGGGGCTGGAGCGATAGCACGTGGAGGAGACTCTTGCCTTGCATGTACCCAACCAGGGTTTATCCTGGCAACCATATGGTCCCCTGAGCCTTCCAGGAATATTACCAGGTGTGACTGAATATAGTGCCCACAAAAAAAACAAAACAAAACAAAAAAACCAACCGCCCAAAACAAACAAAGACAAACAAAAACAAACAAAGAGTCCTCCGAAGCAAGAGATCACTTTCCCTCTTGATTTCCTTATGGCTCATTCACCCACAGATACCCCCACACTGCCCCTACTCTTCTTTTCCTGAACAGTCTTTCATTTACAAAAACATACAAAGAACAGGATCAAAGTATATACTATTTCCGACCGTTGATCTCTGAGCTGGATGCGTCTTTCAGGCTCCTTTCTCTGCCCATTATGACTGCACACATACAGATCCAGGGACTACCTTTTGTATATTCACTTTACAAAATAAATATCGAAGCCTACTTCTACCAGGATTTGTTTATTCCTTTTTCTGTATTTATGTTGAGAAACCAGAATGGGCGTCAGATTCTCTTTTTGAGGGCAATACTGAAACCTAAGTTCTTCCTCTTTCTAAGAAGCTGCTCCCTCCTTTATTCCCTACCCCAACTTCCCCACTTTGGGGTAGAGGAAATTCACTGATCTAATATTGAAGAAGAAAAAAAAAAAACCCAGGCAGTCATCTCCCTGCTCCTGCAAAAGTGGCTTAAGTTGCGTGGCCTGGACACGCCCCTTCCACCTCCTGACGTCACATTATTTTTGTCTTTGAATAGCTCATTGACACAATCGCCTGGGAGATCGGAGAACTGAAACAGGAGATGGTGCAGACAGATGTCGGTCTGGAAAATGGCCTAGAACCCGCAGGAGCCCACAGGTAACTCAGGGGCCGAGGCACAGGGTTCGAGTTGGGAGCCTGGTGGTCCATGGCTGGTGGAGGCTGCCCTGTTAGCTGGTCCACAGGTTTGGGAACTGGGAATGCGATAGCCTCTCCACGTCCAGCTCTGGAGGAGAGGGGAGTGGCTTTAGGAACAAGTTGTCTGCTTGTTTATTTGATTCACTTTGAAGGCACTTGAACTTTACACCCTTTTAATTCCTCCTGGCACCAGAACCCGGAAATCTAGAGTTGTATCTGCCATATCCACCTTCTCACAATGACGGAAACAGTAACGCAGCGGGACCCTCCGTGTGCAAAGTAGAATTCAGTGTAGCCCGCCTCAGTCTCCAGAAGGTTTAAAGGGGAGCACTAAAGAGGATGGACTCATTTTGCATTCTCAGGTCAGAACAAACTCAAACAGCCCTTACCATACGTAGCTTGAACTGTGAACCAATGTGTTGGAAATTGGATGTGGTTGTAAATCCAGGGCACAACCTACACAGGTTGTGAGTGGGTGGCCAGAGAAGGTTCCTGTGGAGAAAGGGAGTGCCTTGGTTGGCAGGTGGCAGGAAACCCACAAAGCCTTTCAGTTCTTACAGGCTAGAGTTCATTGCTGGCAAGGAAAACGAAGTAGATTCACTGCAGTAGGACATGTCGGAAGCCAGATTCATTATCAGCTTCCCCCTTTCTTCTGGAAATGGGCTTAAGTTGCCTTCTGCAGTGTGAAGGGGAGGTTCATGAAGCGGCATTTGCGTGTCAGCGCTGGGCCGGGAACTGCCGTGTGGAGGCAAGCAGGCAAGTGCAGTTCTGGCTGTCCAGGTGTGTTTCAAACCAGCTGAGCTTGTTCCCCTCTGACCTTGAAGGGAAGAAAGTGCGGTTGGAGGGACATACTTTACGGCTACTTTAAATAGACTGAGTGCTTGAGTTCTATCTGCATTCTATCCTTTCCCTTCTTTACAAAACGACAGGGGTAGACCAGGGACCCAAGTTATTTCAACAGCTCCCAAACTGAACAAACAGCTTTGATCAGTTAATTGCTCCACAGTCAATTTTTATTATGTAGATTCCTGCTTTATATTCACTGTAAAGTCAAACTCTGTAGAATTTTAGCTAGGGGATTTCACCCTTGCAATATTGTTATTGTTGTTATCATCATCATCATTATTATTATTATTTTGATTTGGGGACATATTCAGTGGTGCTCAGGGCTATCCTCAGCTCAATAGTGAGTAGTAATTCCTGGTGGTGCTCAGGGAACCATGTGTTGTTGGGCCTCCGGCCAATTGAATCTGTCTTTCCCTTTGCATTGTTGAGCAAAATTAAATCACTGGTAATAGACATGTTAAACAAAGAGCTTTATCTCTTTAAATTTTTTAAATTAAATTACTGTGAGATAAACAGTTACAAAGTTGTCCATGATTGGGTTTCAGTCATGCAATGTTCTAACACCCATCTCTTCACCAGTGTACATTTCCCACTACCAACACCCGCAATATCCCCCTTTCCTCCTCCCAATCCCCAGTCTACCTCTACGGAAGACACTTTTCTTCTCTCTCTTCCTCTCTTTCCTCTTTCCTTTTGTCATTATGGTCTGTAGTACAGGTACTATGTGGTTATTATGTGTATCCCTTTACCTACTTTCAGCACTCAATTCTTGTCCAGAGTGATCTTTTCCAACTGTCATTGTCAAAGTGTTCCCTTCTATCCTTACTGCCCTCTCCTCCTTTTCTCCACTTGTGACATGCTTCTACCTGTGGGCTGTCCCTTATTTCTCCCACATCCATGAGGTGCAACATGAAATGGACCTCAGCATCACAGACTAGAGTTCAAGGTTGTAGTGAGACCCCCCTCCCTGCACATAATCTATCGGGATCTTAGGAACTCTGGAAGAATTACATCCTGAAAGGCCCTGGTGGGAGTGCCTAGCAGTTATTTAATCTCTGATACCTTTTTCTATCTTTCTTTTCTAAAAATTTAATGATTAGTAATCATTCCATTGTAACTTTTTAAAACTTAATGTGTTTGTTGGGTTTGTTTGGAGTAATTTTGGTTTGTAACATAATTAGGTTTAAATTGTTATATATTGATTTAGACATTACATACATTAAGATGTACAGGCTGTGTTAATCTGGTATTTCTATATCTCAAGGCTTGTCACCAAAAGTCTGGCTTCCCTTAATAACAATATAGTTGATCTGTTTTAACCCAGTTTAGTAGAGTATGGTTTTGTAAAGTAAGAGTCTGGTTTTGGTTTATTGTGTACATTCATTGTTTCTCTATTCTCACACAAGTAAAGTCACATGGTATTTGTCTTTCCCCTTTGACTCATTTTACTACCTGTTGTGAATAAGGCTATGATGGACAGGCATTGCTTGGAATGCTGTGTTGTTAACACTGAAATTTCAGAAGCATTTTTCTGTTGGTGTTGTTTTTTCAATGGGAAGGACCAAGGAAAGACAATATTGTCTTTATCTCACAACATATGTGGTGTTTGCCATGTACTAAGTCATTGTCCTGCTTATTCTGTGAATGTGGGATTTTACTTGACATGAGAAAAATCCAGACCGATGAGGCAGACACTTCTGTGCCAGAGATTCTTCTTGAACAGCTTTGCTTGAATTCTTCCATTTGTTGAATGGAGAAGTCAGGAGGGCTGGGAAAGAGGGCTCTGCACTGTTTGCAAATGGTGCAGAGCAGAGTCTCGCCCAGAGGAAGCAGGTCAGCCTGACCTCGAGAGGAGAGGAAAGGGAAACAGGCCTGCAACTGGCAGGGTCGCCTTCAGGGAAGCTGGGACAGAGGAAGCCATTGCTGCAATCCCGCCATGGCACCTTCTAGTGGCTTCACTGATGCACTGCAGTGACCATCCACTGCTGCACTGTTCTCAGTGAGACTGAGCCGCCAACATGGCCTGACTGATTCCAGTCATAGTCATCGTGAAGTTTCTTAGTTTGTTGAATTCTGCTCCAAGTACCAAGTTGCTATATTGAACATTGATGCCATTCCCCTTCCTACATTGTGACAACTTATAGTTAATATTAAGATGAGCGGGAGATCTTTACCCTATTCTTATGGCATGGACCCCTACTCAGAACAATGTTCAAAAGCTTAATATATATAGAATGGAGACCAGAAATATGGTTCAAGTGGTAGATCAGACACCTAGCATGAGAAACCCTAAATCCAACCCCCAGGACTGCGTGACACCCCATGACACCCCACGCATTCCCTGGTATATCCCAAGCATCACAAGATGTTGTCGCTATAGAAAATATGTTGGATGATAAGGTAAACTTTAATTTTTATGGCACCATGATTTATAATACAGTTAGTGATATGGCTCCATGTTTCCAACGTTCCAACACCACACCTCACATACCCCAATCGTAAGTTCGTCTTAACCTAATCCCCCATCCTCTCATAAGGTCTATTCCATGATCAGTTCTCAGACTCTTTTGCCTTGGCAATTTATTATTCCCCTACTATGTGTCTTTATATCCCATGTATGAGAGAAACCATTCTATGTCTGTCTCTCTCCTGGCTGACTTCACTCAGTGTGTTACTCCATCCATATGGTATCATGGAGATACTCATAACCACATCCACCCACATAGCAGCAAATTGTATGATTTAGTCTTTCCTTTTAGCTGAATACTATTCTATGTGTATGTACACCCTGGTCTCTTTATCCAGTCATCAGTCCTCAGACACTTGTGTTATTTCTTTGTTTTGGCAAATGCGAATTATTTTGTAATGAATATAGGAATACAGATGCCTTTTCCAAATAGAGTTTTAGGACCCCTAGGTAGAAGGCAAACATTTGAAATCAAATGATCAAAAAATGTGAAGTATGCAAGTTCTTGCCACTTTAAATGGCAAGGTTTGGTAACAGGTCCAGGGACTGCTGTCCTCTAGAAGAGATGAGTATGAACAATGGGAACCTTTGAGGTTTCTGCTGGTGGCAGAGTTTCAGCTACAAAGAAAATTGCTGTATTCAAAAATGGGAGGAAGCTGATTTCAAGACTAGGTTAGCTAAAGTCAGTGTCACTCTTTTCCATGTAATGGCCAGTTCCCAGCTCTCCACCCATCTGACCTACCCTTGTTGTGTGCACGGTTAGTGTGTTCTCTTGGCTCCAGGAACACTGCATGCTCCTGACTGTTAGGTTCACCCGCTACTGCTTGTGGCCCAGAGGTAGTTTCCTCTAGTGTCCTTGCCCTCCTCATACCTGGAGCCCAGGCCCCGAGCCTCTTCTCTTCACACATACCCCTTCTCTCTCCCACTCACCTTGAACCAAATTCTTAAAACTTTTGTGCCTCAAGGTACACACCAATAAAATGATGATAATTACAGAGTTTTATCTCATAGAGCTGTTAGGAAGATTAAATGAGTTGGTAACTACAAGGAACTTAGCACGATACTGATATGTGGTAAACACAACATGATATTTTCAAAATCGTTCTTGACACTAATTTAGGCAATCCAATTTGACCTCCTGACTTTGATACCATCTGTTTATGGGTAGTTCCCAACTGATAGCTCAAGACTGGTCCTGTCAGCGCTCTTCTGTCCGCCCAATCAGACCTTTGACGTCTCACACTTAGAAAAACAAGACAAAATCCTTGGCTTCCCTTCAAAATATGCCCTTCCCCATCCTAATAACTTTGTTTCCAGATGGTTGGGCTTCCTAGTCATCCCTGAGGTCTCTTTCTCTCAGAACTGCCCTTCCGGTCCATCTCCAAATCCCAGATGTATGCCTTCCAAGAGATCCATTTCTAATCAGCACTACTGAAATAGCTAGACTGGTGCATCCACTTCTACTTGGTCCACCAGGTCTCCTCTGGGCTGCTATCTAAGCATAGAAAATGACTCATTTGGGGGCACTGCCTTGAATGCAGCTGACCCAGATTTATTCCCCAGCATATTATATACTACCCCTGAGCACTACTAGAAGTGATTCCTGAGTACCTGAGTCAGGAGTAACCCCTGAACATCACCAGGTGTG